CTTCTTCTCCCCCTCTCCGCGTCGCCTCTCCCCCCTCATCTGCAACATCCTCAACACCCCCTCACTCAACCCCATCTCCTCTCTAATCTGCCTCTGTTCCTCCAGGATCTCCTCCTCGCTCATCCGCGAGACGACATCTTCGTTTTCGCGTGAGACGGAGGTGAGGAGCGAGGAGAGCGAGTCGGTGGGGGTGGAGGTGAGGGATGCGGCGTCTGAGGATGAGGGCGTGGGCGTTGGAGGGATGAGGGAGGAGGTGCGGAAGATGCGAGGGCCGGAAGAGGCGGAAGCAGAAGGAGTTGGAGCGGGAGCCTGCGACTTGCGAGGGAAAATGCCTCGACCTGGTGCTGGGAAGCCCGTCGGTCGCGCCCCATTTGGAGCGAGAGGCGAAGGACGAGAAGGGCCGGGCGCAGAGGGAGGTTTGGGTCGTGAAGTCGGACGCTCGAGGACGTCCTTGATGATGTCGCGCCGAGGTAGCTCTTCCTGTTCCGCAACTTCTGCGTCGAGCTCGTCCAGACTCAACTCGAACCGTTCTGCGCCTGTCGGTGTCGCCCGCTGTGCTGCCGCTGCCGCCTCCTTCTCCCTCTGCAAGGCGAACCGCGATTTCGGCTTGTGCAGCTTCGCTTCGGGCTCAGCAGGCGTGGTCGACGAGCTCGGCTTGATAACAGGGATTGGTGCTGCAATGTACGAGTCAGCGCACGTCCCGCGAGCCAGACTGAGGGGAGCCAGGACGCACGGGGAAGCGACGAGGCGACGGTCGGTGGGCGAGCTCGTGTCACTCGTGCGGCGGGCTGGGCGGGGCCGTCGAGCTCTGGAAAGGCTGGTTGGTCATAGTCGGACAGGTCTGCGAGCGACGGGCGGATGCGCTGGGCCATCTCGAGTGTGTGCGATGGAGGGAGAGCTGGAAACGGGCTGAGTAAGCGAGGTGGGTCGCTCTTGCCGAGCAGAGAGGGTTGCACGGTGAATAGGGTGTTCTAGTCTGAGCAGTACATCCACAGCAGTGAAGTACCGGTACACTCAGACGAGGACGACACTCACTCTCGCGAGTGCCACGCTGCCTCCTGTCTACAGTAATCGAAGGGGGCATCCGATTCCGCTCCCGCGCCACGTGTACCGCATCTCATTTGCAATTTGGCAAAATAGCGCCGCGCTTCTCGCCCTCCCTCACCCTGGTGAGCTTTCCCTCTCGCCTCGCCCCTCATCCTGCACTCGCTCTGCTGGCCATGGACCGCACACCAGCTGCACAGACAGCACAGCTACCAGCGACTCAGATGCACCCGCACCCCCCGCACAATGAGCACGCCGCCGCTCACCCTCAACTCGACTCGATGGTCGACCGCGCTGCTCACCCGCCTCAACACACCCGTGCGTGCGAGCAGACGCCTCAGACGGACGTACTGAGCTAACGAACACTCCCCGCGCAGCCCCGCTGCAGCTCAAGCGACTCAAGCTGCTCGACCAGCTCCTTGCCCTCTGGATCCTCCTCGCCATGGCACTCGGCATCATCCTCGGCGCACTCGTGCCCAGCACCTCCGAGGTCCTCGAGAAGGTCAAGTTCGTCGATGTGTCCCTCCCCATCGGTGCGCACCGTCTCTTCTCCTCCCGACTTTTTCGAACCGGCCGAACTCGCCGCATTTCAGATCAGAATCCTTCCGAACCTCCGATTCTCTCAGACTGACTCTTTCGACGACGCGCAGCCATCGCCTTGATGGTCATGATGTGGCCCATCCTGTGCCGCGTCTCGCCAGGCTCGCTCATCCCGCTCTTCCGCCACCGACAGCTCTGGCAACACCTCGCCTTCTCCGTCGTCGTCAACTGGATCGTCTCGCCCCTCCTCATGCTGGGACTCGCTTGGGCCTTCCTGCCCGACAAGGAGGACCTCAGGGAGGGGTTGATCGTCGTGGGCGTCGCGAGGTGTATCGCCATGGTGCGTGCGGGCGTCCATCTGCGGCTGTCTCTCGTGCTTCGACGTTTCGCGAGGCAGGCGAGCTGACTACTCCTTCATGGACTCCATCGCAGGTCCTCGTATGGACCGACATCGCCGGCGGAGACCTTGACTGTGAGTTCGGGCTCCTGCTTCTCCTCTTAGATCGCCGTCCAGTCATGCACTTCCACGTGCACTGCAGAGCTTTGGACTGACTTCCCCGTCGCTCCACCACGCAGACTGCGCGATCCTCGTCGCCTTCAACTCGATCCTCCAGATGGTCCTCTTCTCGCCCGTCTCGATCCTCTTCCTCCGCGTCTTCCGAACCCAACCGCTCGGCGATGTCGAAGCAGCAAGCGTGTCCTACTCGACTGTCGCAAAGAGTGTCGCCGTCTTCCTCGGTGAGCACTTCCTCCTCCTCCTCCTCGAGACTTGACCTTCTCAAAGTCCAGCCTCGGCGCGCTGACCTTTGTCGCTGCTTGTGCACGCAGGCATCCCTCTCGCCGCCGCCGTCCTCACGCGCTCCTTCTTCTTCGCGA